TTTTCAAAGAGTAAGTTGATGAAGATAATCGATCAAAATCACTTGCACCCCTCCTTCCAAGATTGGTCACAAGATTACAACTCCGGAGACAATTGAATGGGTGTTGGAGGCGTGTGGTTCTGAATGTGGTCAAACACGCACAGATAAATTCTATTCAAACTCTTTACTGTCATAAGCTTGTTGCCGCTGAAAAGGGCCGTTTTGTTGCCAAAGTTGGTGATGACCGAAACCATACAGAGTGCGTCTGTCGCTTGGCGTGTTCAGAGTAGGTGACAGCATCACGGATCACATTTTCCAGGAACACCTTCAGCACCGCCTAAACGCAAAAGAAAGGGGCAAACTCTTGATCCCTCTGCTGATAAAATTAATTTGAGTAATCAATTTGATTTGCTCACGGATGATGAGAATGATCCATCATCCAAAAAAAATTCTAGTAAACTTTACCGGCTTAATGCCAAGAAGGAAAAGATTCCCCCTATTGTGATAACCACTTACGATTTCCATGCTCTTCGCATGGAACTTTTGAACTTCGTGAAAGTTAAGTTTTCACTACAAATTGGACGTCGGGGTGAATGCCGTGTATTGGCTGAAACCTTGGACGGATTTACATGTCTTCTCAAGTATCTTACTGAGAAGCAGCATAATTTTTTTACTTACGACATCAAAACTGAACGTGTGTTCAAGGTTGTCATGAAAGGACTGCCCAGTGGTGAATCCCTGGATCAGATCAAAGATGAACTGGCAAAATTACTTTGAGTTGTGCCACTCCAAGTAATCAAAATGAAAATGAAATCCCGTCCTGGCGATTCGCGCAACAGGATTTCTAATGATTTTTATTTAGTTCACTTCAAGTCTAGTGAACTAAACAAACTAAAGGCCTTAGAAAAAGCTAGCCTTATGCTCCATGTCCGAGTGAAGTGGGAACACTTCAGGAAGACTGGAGGAAATTTCCAAAACCTCACCCAGTGCCGTAAGTGCCAGAGATGGGGTCACGGAACTAAAAATTGCTACATGCCAGCTAAATGCATGAATTGTGGTGATTCCTCTCACGCAAAGGACGACTGTCCTGTGAAGGAAGATCCTAAGAAATTTGAATGTTCAAATTGTGGTGAAAACCACAAATCCAATTTTTGGGAATGTAAGACTCGCAAAGCGATCCTCCAATCTCGTTCTAACCGAAAGGTAGGAAACGCTGCACGTTTCCGAACAGGTACAAATTCCTCTGCTGTTAACAACGGACGAAGCGAGGACCAAATTCTACATTCGTACCCGTAGGTACAAATATCACCCCTGCTTCAAATTTTTCATCTGTACCTACTCCCCTCGCTGCTAACAATGTTCAGCGAGTAAATGCTGCTATTGCAACGGGTAGAAATCAAAATACTAACCAACGTTCTAACGAAAATTTTGACAATTTTGACAATTTTGACTTAGGAAGCATTACTGCCCCCAAAATGGAATTTTTACAGAAATCATTAATTGATATGATTTCTGATATGCTTATATCTAACTCCATGTTTGATGCTATTCAAACTGGAGTAAAATTTGCAAACAATATTGTCATGAGTTTAAAATTCAGTAATGGATTTTAAAGCATTAAATATTTTAAATTGGAATGCTCGATCTCTTAAAGATAATGAAGACGAGCTATTTAACTTTTTAAGAGTTCATAACGTGCATATTGTCGTTATAACTGAAACGTTCCTTAAACCTGATCATAAGGTTAACAAGGACGCAAATTATTTCATTTATAGAAATGATCGTCTTGATGGACCCTGTGGTGGCGTTGCCATCATTGTTCATAGACGAATCAAACATAAAATTCTTTCTTCATTTGAAACCAATGTTTTTGAAACTTTGGGAGTTTCTGTTGAAACAAAATTTGGACAACTTACGTGTAAAGCTGTCTATTTGCCATTCCAATGCGTAGGCCAGCAAAAGATTTTTCTCAAGGGTGACCTCCAGAAACTTACCCGTCATAGGTCTAAATTCTTCATTATTGGTGATTTTAATGCAAAACACCGCTCATGGCATAATTCTCAAAGCAATTCCAATGGTAATATTCTGTTTGATGATTGTTCTACAGTATTACACTATTCAATATCCAAACAGCCCAACATGCTTTTCTTCTGCAAGAAATCCCTCCACTATTGATTTGGTCTTAACTGATTCATGTCAACTTTGTAGACAATTGGTTACCCATGCTGACTTCGGTTCTGATCACCCTTCAGTAACTTTTGAAATATCCAAAGAAATAATTTGTAATCTCAATAGCTCTACTTTCAATTACCATAGAGCTGATTGGGAGCAATATCGAACATTTATGGAATATAACTTCGATCCAAACATTGATTTGCAAACCAAAGATGAAATTAATTATGCTCTTGAATCTCTGACTACTTCTATAGTTGAAGCAAGAGCTGCCTCAGTACCAAAATGCGAGGTTAAATTCGATTCAATTATAATAGACGACGATCGTCAGCTCTTGATCCGTCTTAAAAATGTCCGTAGGAGACAATATCAAAGAACACGCGATCCTGCCATGAAAGTTATCTGGCGGGATTTGCAAACACAAATTAAAAAGCGATTCTCTGCCCTGAGGAACAAAACTTTTGAAAATAATGTTTCTTAATTAGACCCGAGTTCCAAATCCTTTTGGGAACTCACAAAATTTTTGAAAAAACCTCAAAAGCCTATTCCAGCGCTTAAAAAAGGTGGTAAAATTTTGATCACAAATTTGGAAAAAGCTCAGAAACTTGCTAAGCAATTCGAGAGTTCCCATAATTTCAGTTTGGGTCTTACTAGTCCTATTGAGAATCAGGTTGCTCGGGATTATCTGAATATTTTCTCTCGGGAAAATATTTTTGATGATTCCTGGGGGACTGATTTGGACGAAGTAAAGTCTATAACTAAAAAGTTTCATAATATGAAAGCTCCAGGTGATGATGGAATTTTCTATATCCTCATAAAAAACTCCCAGAGAGTACCTTGTCTTTCTTGGTAAAATTATTTAACAGATGTTTCCATTTGGCATACTTTCCTGATAAATGGAAAAATGCAAAAGTTGTTCCAATTTTGAAGCCGGATAAAAATACAGCTGAAGCTTCTAGCTATCGTCCAATAAGTTTGCTTTCTTCAATAAGTAAACTTTTTGAAAAGATAATTTTAAATAGAATGATGCTTCACATCAATACGAAGTCAATTTTTGCAGATGACCAGTTTGGATTTCGCCATGGGTATTCAACTACTCATCAACTTTTAAGAGTTACCAATTTAATTCGTTCAAACAAATCTGAAGGCCACTCAACTGGAGTTGCTCTTCTAGACATAGAAAAAGCATTTGACAGTGTTTGGCATGAAGGTTTGATTGCTAAATTGAAAAAGTTTAATTTTCCACTTTATATTATGAAATTAGTTCAAAATTATTTAACTGACAGAACTCTGAAGGTAAATTATCAAAATTCCAAATCTAATCGACTACCTGTTAGAGCAGGAGTTCCTCAGGGTAGCATTCTTGAGCCTATATTGTATAATATTTTCACTTCGGACCTCCCTGATTTGCCTCAGGGTTGCCACAAATCTTTGTTCGCTGATGACACAGGCATTTCTGCTAAAGGAAGAAGTCTTCGTGTTATTTGCAACAGACTGCAGAAAAGTTTAGATATTTTCTCTTCTCATTTACAAAAATGGAAGATTTATCCCAACGCTTTCAAAACTCAACCTATAATATTTCCACATAAGCCTAGAGCTTCGTTTTTGAAACCTAGAAGTAGTCACATAGTCACTATGGACGGAGTTCCAATTTCCTGGTCAAACCAAGTGAAATATCTTGGATTAGTACTTGACCAAAAATTAACTTATAAAGATCACATTGAGAGCGATCAAGCCAAATGTAACAAATATATGAAATGTGTGTATCCTCTTATAAACAGGGAATCCAAACTTTGCCTGACGAATAAAGTTTTAATATTTAAACAAGTTTTTAGACCGGCCATGCTTTCCGCTGTGCCAATATGGTCTTGTCAGGAAAAAAGCACTTCAAAGGATTCAGAACAAAGTTCTGAAGATGATTTTGAAGTTGCCTCCCTGGTACAGTACTACCGAAGTACATAGAATTTTGAATGTTGAGGCTTTAGAACAAATGTCCAACAAAATAATTAACAATTTCAGGCAAATATCGCAAATATATAATTCCCTTTATACATAGATAAGATTTAGTTTTAGTTTTTAGTTTTAAGATTTCAATTGTTATACTGACATGCAGGTTTGAAAAACCTGTTTAAAATACTGAATTGCCAAGGCAGGAACATTGTTAAAACACTTAGATATATATCATTACAATTAAGGCTGGTAAGTTACTGTAGTAACTGGGGCACCTAGGTTAAAATGAAATGTAATTTATTTTGAATTTGGAACAAATAAAGAATTAAAAAAAAAAGTTGAGGTTAGTAGTGGTAGTAAAATTACGTGTATTTTCCATTGATTATGATTTTACATTGTTCATACATTCCAATTGCTAGTCTGAAGGGCTCTTCAATTGAGGCTAGACAGCAGCGCTCTTTAATATCTTTTCAGGTTAAAGCAGAATTATGTGCAACCAAGTAGTGCTCGATTATGACGACTGGGTTTGGGAAGAACGCTAATTTCATGAAAACAGTGTTTAAATTATCACTTTTTCAATGCTTGACATTACCACCTTTTCAATAGTTTCTTATTGAAAATGAGCAATCGAAAGCATTGATGTTGATACGTAGAAATATTTCTGATCGATTGGTGATAAAATTATTGGTCCAGGGGCAATCCAACATCCAATAAAAAACATCTGCGGGGTGGGGGGCTAGATATTTCTGGAGGGGGCCTGGCCCCCATGGCACCCCCAGTAACTACGCCAATGATGGCGTTCCAAAAAATAAATAAACCAATAACCCCTAACTAATAAGTGTCATCTCAAATTATTGCACCAGCTCCACATCCCAATCAGTATACGGACGTTTATTGGAAAGCTCAAATCTCCTAACAGAATAAAATTGAGTAATTTTCATAGCATGTTATGTATAGTCTTTCAGTATTTCCGCCGGTTGACCTTTGACACTCGTTCGTCGTACCCCGCAAAACGCACACACACACATATCCAAACACGACACAAGGGTTACGATGAACGGGTTGTCAGGTTTCCTCTGTCTTACGGAAGCCACTCGGAATCCGGATGTTGGGGCATGGCGAGTTTTTCCGCTCGATGGCCACTGCTGGGGGTGCTCTGATCGTCACTGCTGCTGGAGTCGGCGTACTGATGGTAAATCTGCAAGACAAAAGCCAATAAGCCAATCTCGTGTTACACGAACTGGAAACCGGCGATGGATGGGGTTCAGGATGTTCGAAAACGATTCCGGACAGGGGCAAAGATTGGCGAAAAATGCAAAATGAGATGTTGTTGACCGATGGGGTATGGGTTGACAGAAGGGTGCAGTATGTAGTAGCAAAACAACCAATTACATGAAGCTTGAAGTAAAGCAAAAATGGGATAAAGCTTGCCAAACGATGAGGCACGCATCTTTCAAGCTTTCGGTGTACCGTTTTGGGAGGGTTAAAACAAATGTGCAACCTTTTTGCCGGTATTGACGGCATACTCGAACCCATCGCCGATCTTTTCGCCCGCCTTGCGGAACACGTTGGCAATGTTCTTCGTCGAGAAGGTGTTGGAGTCGATGTGGATGTTGAAGCCTGCTTCTCCCTCCTTCGGACATCCGTCTTGGTTGATGATGCTGAGGTCAAACGGGTCGACCGAGAAACCGGACAGGCGGTTGCGGATCTACGGGGAGATATTGAACGAAATTGAATTAGAATAGGTTCGTTGAACATTTTGGATCTGCTGGCTTCTGGTAAGTATAAACAATTTGAAAAGTTTCATAATCCTCCGAATATCTGCTCATCTCAAGTGTCAAAAGGTGAGCGCTTATTCACCATAAGGTGAACTATGTTTGTCCTGCAATATACGATCAAATTTATGCATATAATCACCGTTGTTCAAATGGGATAAACTTCCCTTTATAACACCTCCATTCAAAAAGTAGAACCCAAACAACATCACTTTCAAAAGCTAGACAAACCGCCGTAACTTGGTAAACAATCTACTCCAGCCAGAATATGCACAAAATACAGATAGGTACCACCACCATTGGCCATCTAATGGCACAGTGTACGAACTTTTGCGTGTGGTAAGTGGTGATAAAATATTCATGTTCCTCTCCCTGCTGATCCCCCTGCCAGCCCCCCCCCCCCACGGTCTGCCGTGGAACACGCGCTTTTGTGTACATTTCCAAACCCACCCTACAGCAAAAAGCGTGTCCTGGTTGCCTGTCTGCCTGCTTGTTTGGTAAAATTTACTGGCCCTTTTTCTGACGATATCACACCAAACCGACGACGGCGACAAAAAACAACGAATGCTTGCCATCGCCGTTCATTGTGGGTTCAGTTCACGGAAGATGCACTCCAGCCTCGACCACATCCAAGATCGCTAGAGCATAAATAGTCAAGAGGAGCTGAGCTGAAAACCGCCAGCTTTTTTTTGAGTTATTCACTAACTAAGGGTGGAAAAGCGCACGCCAGCTCGCTACTTGGGTTGTGCCCATATGAAAACAAACCACCGGCCGACGACGACGATGAACAGAAGAGATAGGACAGCCAAGCTTGGTTTTGAAAGAAAAAAAAAGTAAAAATGAGCAGCCAAAGGTGTTGACAGAAGTCACTTGAATGAATTTAAAATGCTTTAGTGCTGGTAACCCACTCCCACTCGCCCCGTTAACTTTTTACGGAGAGTAGATTTGTGTGTGTGCTGTCACTTGGCGTAATCGAGGAAAAGCTCGGCGTTGCGATGGCATCTGTACTGACGTGTAAAATCAACGATTTTGTTTTAATCCGTTGAGAGCATGCAAATTCAAAGTGAATATACATCTCCCCAAATAACAAGCATCAAGAATAGAAAATTCCTGGAGGTCAAGTCTTGATAGACTATAAGTATTTTGATCCAAATGAATGGAGCTTGGAGATTTTTAATCAATTTCAGTGAGAAAACTCAGGTGAATCAATACTACCAAGATGTATAACGGCTTACGATCATCCAAAATTCGGAGTTGGGCGCAATTCCGCTAATCCGCTAACAGTTAATTAGCTGAGCGGGCATTGTTGTGAGGGGTTAACGCTTTCGCTAATTTTTAAAACCGTTACCGCTTTTGTTAGCTTTCGCTAAATTTAAGTTCCGATAAATAGACCGGAATTCAGAAATCCTTAAAAAAAATCTTACAGCAGTGACGGGCATATCTGCGATACCTAAAGCACAAAAAACTAATAAAGCAATTATTTTGGCCACCCTGCTTGCTGCTGCGTCAGTTCCGTTACCAAATATACCGATTTAATGGTATTTATACCGATTTCCGAACTAGATACCGATATACAGATAAGGTTCCTCAGAATACCGATTTTTGAGGTTTTATACCGATCTATACCGATATATACTCTTCATAAAGGGATTCCGTTAAGCGGTTTCGGAGAAAATTATTGTGAGAGACTTGTATCACAGACAAACAGACATAACACGTAGAAAAAAAATTCTTCAAACGCGTCAGCTGTGTTGAATAAAAATAAAACAGATGGAAGTCAGTGATGTCGGTTCTACGAAATTTTAGAAAGATCTATAGAATTGATTTAATTCTGCAGAAATACGGATCCGTTGGAAAAATTCTCAGAAGCTAAGACTTTTTCTTAGGGATTTGTTTTGTTTGCTTAGCGTGCTTTTTCTTTTGCTGGAAACAAGTGTTTAAACAAGGTAATGCATCACTTATTAGTGCCCTTTCTACACGGTTAGAAAAAAGTACCCAAAATTAAGTTCTTTTCACTCATCTCGGCACTATAGCGCAGGAAAGCAAAAGTAGGTAAAGCGTGTCAAAGTAATTTTCATTTACTTGTGTGCAGTTCGTATGGAATTTTCCACTGGCTTTTTAACCAAAAGTAAGTTAGTTGTACCCAACAGTAGGTAAATATGATTATACTCAACGTTGGGTTCCCACACTTTACTACCCATATTGGGTGGTTTTGCTCCTCCGTTTTTGACAACATTAGAAGGAGAAAAGGAGACAAACTAGTCAAAAGTAAGTAAAAGTGAACTGGCCGTTGGGTACTTTTTTCTTACCGTGTACCACCGCTCGTCACTTCAATGTGTACACAGAAGAAAAAAAATATAATATGTATAAATCAATGATATTCATGGTGAAGTATTGAACATCAATAACTGGTAAAAATTGATAGAATATAACAGTCATCAACATGATTTGTTCTCGAATTCTGTGTACATCGTACAAATTAATATTAGGAACGGAATGACTAATGAGCAGCAGTTTTGATGTAATATTCAACAACTTTTTTTCTGTATTTGTCAGATGTGGTATGTGTCTCCAGTGGGATGCCTTCCCAAGTAACAATTTTGGTTTTATGAGGGTTCTGTAGACCATGATTTAGACTTGTAAAATGCTATAAAACCTCTATAAAGCTTGCAATGTTACTTGAGTTGCCACTTATCATTTTCAAGAGCTGACATCTACTAACTAGACGTGCAAAAGAACTGGCATCACTGATAAGTTCGAAATGTAGTGGCTTGCTCAATGCTTCAGTGGTGCCACCATGACAAATGCAAACACATTCCCAAGTTAAAGATTATTTGCGATGAATGTGATTGTGAGTATTATGTCTGTTTGTCTGTGCTTGTATCTTTTGAATATCCCAAATTCTTAAAAAAAAAATCATCTTTTAAAATGTCTTATGGATACTCTTTCGATTAATGTCCTCACCGTTTTTGGCTACCCTTCAATCGATAAACAGTCGATGGCTCTTTCTGGTAATTCCGGGGAATCGGGAAATACTTTTAAACATTATTTAACTTCCTGAATTTTCTTCCAACTTTCCCGTGGAATTTTCTTCCACTATACATCGTAAATTATTTTACGATTATACTCGGAAACTTATTTCGACTTCCCTTGGAAGCTTCTTCAGCCTCGAATGATTCTTCCATCTTCTCCCGCCAGTTTTTTCAACTTTCCCGGAACCTTAGGGATGCTTCCAAATTTTGATTGCGGATCCACATTAGCTGTAGGAACTTTTAAGAAGTTCTGAAACTTCAGAAAAGTCCAAACTTTTAAGTAAGCTTCGATAAATTAAAGAATGTTTTAAAAACTTCGATAATTTCAGGAAAGTCAAGCGAACTCCAGTGAACTTAAGGAAACTTCATAAATATTTTGGATACTTCACAAGTCCAAAGAACTCCTGGAAAATTTAATGGTTTTCAGGGCGGTTCCATTAGTTTCAGGAGAATTGAGAGAACTTTAGGAAGCTCCGAGAACATCAGGAAATTTTAAAGGAGTTTCGAGTAACTCAGGCAATTTCCGGAAACACTTCAGCAATGTTCCGAGGGGCTCATGCAAATTTAAGAAACGTATGGGATGATACATGAACATTAGGACATTGTGAGAACATTTTATGGGAAGTTCCGTGCTTATTAATGGCAGTGTCGATAAATTTTAAAAATTAGAAAAATCGGGAAGATCAGAGAACTTCAATGCTGATGTTACATTAAATTCAAGAAAATTGTGAAAATTGTAATTCAAGCGCTTAAGAAATTTCTTAATCTTCAAGAAAGTCTAGAGACCTTCAAAGTTGATTGGAGATATTCCGGTAGTCTCACTATAATCAGGGAATTTCCAAGTATTTCAAAGATGATCAGAGTACTCCCAAACAGCCCTATTAACTATAACGGCGCCGGTGGTGTAGTGGTAAGCGTGATTACCTCTCACCCCAGCAGGCCTGGGTTCAATCCCAGTCGGCGCCGCCGGGATATTCTGAGGCATATAACATCTCTGATCACGCCTTCCTTCGGCAGGGAAGTAAAGCCGTTGGTCCCCGGTTCATGAGTTGATGGGTCGATAGGTAGGGTCCAGGTGTGGGAGCTGCCTTCCTGGCACGTCGGTAGCATTGGTGCTCAGCACGGAAAACAAGATCGACGGAAAAAAACAAACCAAAGGAGAAAAAAAAGCCCTATTAACTTATGGAAAATTACAAGAACTATTAATATGAAATATGGAATATTCCTAAGTAAATTTCAGGAATGTTCCAAAAACTTCAGGTGCATTGCGGGGTCTTTAGGGACGTTTTATGGCAATTAGGAAGATTTTATGGATCATTAGAACATCCCTCAAGAGCTCTTTCTTCCGGAATCATGTCCTAGTTTCTTTCGACTGTTCCGTTACCGCTCTGGCTTCCGACTTCCTCCAGAATTTTTTTTCCTATCTACCTTAGGATGTTTCTGCCAGCGTCTCCAGGAAGTTTCTTCCGTTTTCTCCAGAAAGTTCAATTAAACTTCTCCCAGAAATTTCTTTCGTCTAGTTCTGGAATGTTGTCCAGTTGGTATTTTCTACTTCTATTGGAAGGTTTTTCCGAGCTTCTTCTGGCCTCCCCTGGAAATGGCTACTTCTGGAATTTTTTTCTGCCTTCCTACGAATGTGAAATCTGATTTTTTTTCTGAAAGTTTCTTTAAATTTTTGCCAGAATTTTCTCAATTTAAGTCTTGGAAATTCCGCGGATGTTTTTCCGACTTCTCTCAGAACTTTCCTCAAATTTTCTCCAGGAGCTTCTTTCTTCTTTCTATGGATGTTGTTTTCAGCTTCCTCCAGAAGCTAATTCAAACATTCACCGGAGTTTTCTTCCGGAATTTTCCGATCATAGTCCATAAGTTAAAATTTTGGCTTTCAAAAACGACAAAAATAT